AAGTGGAACACCCTGTATAGTGGAATATATTTTTAATTTGTACATTCCGAGAAATGTGGCAACACAGTAAAAAGAAAAATCCATATATTCCTCATTTTAACATAGATATTGGACTTTCCCGCACTAGTGGGACACGTTGTATACCAGAACCGATATTTAATTGTACAAATACCTACGATTGAAGTTAATAATATCGCCTTAGCAGAAATAACAGAACAAGTGCTATCAGATAAATTAAATTCCACAGAGCTGAAGTTGATGGCTTACCTGTTTTTTTTTGTAAAAAGAATGTGTCCCAGTTTAACCTTTATCATGAATATTTAACAAATCTCTTAATCTTGGGGAATCTCCAGCTCTATGGAAACGAGCTTATTTAATTCCTGTGAATAAGAATCCAGGCGACCAGGATTGTGTCATTGATTACTGAGGTATTAGTAAATTATGTGTATTTAACAAATTATTTGAACCGATTATATACGATAGTCTTCTTAATACGACTAAAACATGTATTGTGGTGGATCAACTTAGCTTCTTTCCTAAAAGATCTATGAAGACTAATTTATTATGTTTGAATTCAATATATTCACATAGTGCTATGGATCGTCAAATTCAAGTGGACATTAGTGAAGCCTTTGACAAAATTGATCATAATAATAATATTTAAACACTAAATTTTCTGATTTCGATATACATGGTGATCAATTGGGTTGGTTTGCATCATATAGGTATATTTAATCCAATATTTATTATTTCTGACGTGCCACAAGGTTCACATTTAGGTACGTTACTGTTTCTTGTAAATATCAACGATATTAGTAATTTTATTCATTATTGTAAGTTCCTGGTATGAATAGAATTGTTCGTTACTGCACTAATAAATAAATTAACTTTAAACACAACAAAATGCAGTTGTATTTGTTTTCCAAAAAATTATAACGTTTTTGATTTCGATTATTTTATAAATAATGAAACTGTGCAAAGGGTTACTAGTAAATGATTAATGTTTATAAGTAATAAGAGAAAGTAAAATATACCTAAGGATTTTTTTTTTGTTAGAAATAGGAAGGGATCGTAGAGAGATATCAAAAAGCAAAAGAGAGATTGTGTTTTAAGATAAATTGAATAAAATGAGAAAATAAATAGTATTTCCTCCAACATATTAGATAATAGGTAAAACGTATCAAAAAAATTAACTTTTTATACTCTATTCTATGAATATAAAAAAACAACAAATAATAGTAAATCTGTTCTTTCACTTTAATTGTTGATGCAAACAAGGTGATAGTGATACTTTAGAATTAGGTAAATAGTTAAAATCCACCTATTGTTCAATATAGTTGAAGTTGGATTTGATCATAAAAGAAAGTTCTGTTTTGTATCATTGTAATCAAGAAAATCTGCCAAATCATCTTTACTTACATTAATGAGAGCAAAGAAATTGTTCCATAATAATAAAAATTTATTGGAATTGACACGGAAAACGTAGTTACAAAATATTGTCACTTAGAACTTAGAACTATAAGACAGAGGTGTCTTCTAGTTAATACTTTAGTTTTTTTTTACTTTAATACTAAGTTGTTTAATTCTTAGAAAATTCACAAGTAAAAAATTGCGATTAATTTTCTAATTAATATGGGCCAAAGTTACCAATAATAAGTGGTTATTTCAAAAACACCCTGTACAGTGATGTGTATTTTGTGTTTTGTCCACTATTTTCAGTGTGGGATATTTGATTAGACAAAATTATTTCATAAAATATAATTATTGGCACAAGGGTTTATTTAATTAATTTGAATTTTTATTTTTTCATAAAATACAAGGTGTCAGCAAATTTCACCTACAACGTTTGATTGCATATTCACGACGATAAATAAATACGATGTACGAAAAAAATGTTAAATAAAAAATTTTTGGTTTTTGAGTTACAAATTTTCCAAAAGTTGGCAAAAATAAAATTAATTAAATTAATAACTTCATAGCCCTTTTACCGATCGCGTTAAAATTTGGCACATTTATTTGGACTATTATGGCGCATTATTTCTTAAAGCTTTAGTCAAATCCATATACTGGGTGATAGTTTTCTCCGGTTACCTCTCCCTTTCAGCGGTCAAAACTTTTACAGTGGTCGTATTTTTTTAAATTTGTAAATGTAACTTTTTTAATTATGGCTATATTACTTTTAAAAATATCAAACTGATTTTGAAACAGATTATATTTATCACACATTTGAAAAAGAGGAGAGTATTTTTGAATATTAATTCTTGACATAGGTAAATAAAACAATGAAGAAAAACGAGATGATAATCTAGGTATATGAAAATTTAACAATGAAAGTAAAGAAGGACAGTCAATTGCATTACGTAATAACTTATATAAAAATATCAGTTGCGCAATCGTTCTACGTTCCTCTAAACTGCGAAATGAAAATCTATTTAAAAGGTCACATTGAGGGATACATTAGGTGGAGAATTGCCATCCTCTCTAAAACTGCAGCCTTTAAGAAACGTCTCTGAACTCTTTCTATATTAGTTATGTAAATATTAAGTATAGTAGGGTGACCACACAGTGCAAAAATACTCTAATTTAGATCTAACAAAAGCTGAATATACTAATTTAAAAGTAGAGAAATAAGTAAAATCCTTAGAGCAGCAGCATAAAACCTAGCATTTTAAAACTTTCGTTCCTAATCATATTAATATGGTACGAAAAAGACAATTTATTGTCAAATAGTACACCTAAATCACGGATGGTATGTGGCCTGGTAAGAATAACATTATCAATACAGTAATCAAATACAATCGGTTGTTGTTTGAGAGAGAAGGTCTTGACATAACACTTTTTAATACTAAGCTGTAAGTTATTAACATTGCACCATAAAACAATTTCCACTACTTATACTAGTATAGAGCTCCATCTCATCAGCCTATAATAAACAAGTAACATCAGTTCCAATCACAATATTATTAATGAACATATTAAAGAAAAGAGGACCAAGAACTGATCCTTGCGGTGCACCAGAAGTAGCTACAAATACTTTCGACAGCCGACCATGATGCATGCCGATTTAATAAATAAGATAAAAAGAAGTGTAGTAAGTCCTTTGAGAAACTGAAACTATTTAATTTAGTCAATAAAACACCATGATCAAGCCGATCAAAAGTCTTTGTGAAAACGGTGTATATTACATCTACTTGCGAATTCGAATCAAAAACACCCGAGATATATTGAGTTATACACAGAAGGTTGGAGGTGGTGGATCAGCCCTTAAAAAAAACATGTTGATATTCATTTATTCGGTTCTTTGCAAATGAAAAAATAAAATCGTAAAGAAGAAAGTCATAAGCTTTAGAAAAATTATTGATAATTGTTATAGGTCTATAATTTTCAACTTTATTTCTTTCATCTTGTTTATTAACAGGAATTACTTTAGAATTTTTTAATACACTAGGATAAATATTACATCTAATAGACAAATTAAACAAGATGGTAAGAGGTATAGCTAAAACACAGGCACAATCATTAAGTACAAATGCAGGTATTTTATCTGGGCCCATAGTATTTTTGGGTTTGATTTTTTTTAAGGCTGAAATCACCTCTGCTTCTGTGAACTGATTCAGTTGAAACAATGCAGTGCCTGTATCCGTTAATGAAACAGAAACAAAACAGGACTTAATAAAAGTACTACTAAAGTACCGAGCAAACATCTCAACCACTTCACCAGTATACTTTCATAAGAATTATCTTGGTAATACATTGTACTTGGCAAGCTGTTGTTATTCTTTTTCATATTGATAAATTGCCAGAATTTATTGGGATTGATTTTAATGCTATTCTCAATGTTACGACAATAATTCAGATATTCACATTTAGTTTCATTTTTTATATAGGTAAGTTCGTAAAAATTCAAATTCCTGACGAGCTATTGGATCATCAAATCTTTTATAATCACGCAAAGCTTTATGTTTTGCGTGATCTTTTCAATGTTGCTGCCTGTTTTAAAAAAATACGACCACTGTAAAAGTTTTGACCGCTAACAGGGAGAGACAAGCGGAGAAAACTATCACCCAGTATATCGATTTAACTAAAGCTTTAAGAAATAATATGCCTTAATAGTTCAAATAAACGTGCCAAATTTTAACGCGATCGGTAAAAGGTTTATGAAGTTATTAATTAAATTAGTTTTATTTTTGACAACTTTGAAAACATGTAACTGAAAAACCAAAAAGTTTTTATTTAACTTTTTTTCGTAGATCGTATTTATTTATGGTCGTGAATATGCAGACAAACGTTGTAAGTGAAATTTGCGAATACCCTGTGTAGAATAAATAAAACAAATAATGGCTATTGATAAGAAGTTGATAATAATGGCTATTGATAAGAAAAAAGTGTATTTTTGTGAGAAATATTGTATTCTCGAGTATTTTATTGTATGAGGTTTTAAATGTTCGTTAAACAATTTTTTTCAGCGTGAGACCTTTGGCACGAACACAACCTTTAAATGCATGAACAAATGAATTATTAAAATAAAAATTGTCAAAGAAAAATTGTTTTCATTTTGTGGCATATTTCATTCCGATAAAACGTGAATTATGTAAATAAAGTTTTGCCAAGGCTTATTTGTCGTACTTTCCATTCTCCTAAAAAATGCTCAACTTGGTGTGTGCTAGTACCCAGCAAATTGCGTAATAAAATCCCGAAACATTATTAACCGATCGCGCAATGCTAGTTTCCGGTTAAAGGTGTCCAGAAGCCGGATTTAAATACTTCAGTTTGAAACACCGGCCGCAATGAAACAGTCGGCTTGAAAGTCGCCGTAAAACTCACCCAACAAAAAGTCGAGATTCGTCTGAAAGAACTACAGTGGTTGCCACGCAACTAACTTCTAATATTAGGGTGAGAGGCGTGGCCAAAACTTTCAGCCCAATGAGATATAAGTGTTTGCGCGCAATGCTCGAGAGTGTGTAATGTATCGTCTAATGTTGCTGTAATGCCTGATATTATTAGGATAATACATTTCAAATCGGTTAGTCTATCTACAGCTGAGCTGCTGTTGACTTCCACTGACAGTTTAATTGCCAGTTAATCAAGCTATCACTGCTATGAATATTCCAAATACTTTCGCAGCGCTTTACATACAGTTGATGTGATATCCGCGACCATAAAAAAACGCTGTTAGTTGTGCTGTGTGTTTACGAAAAAGAAATGGCTCAGTACTTGGAGGAAAACCATCACCTCATGCACCACCAAGACTACCAGAACAAGCCCCTGAATATGGACACTAAGATCCAGGAGAACAAAGGTTCTTTTTGTATAGACGCGCTGTTGTCCAGGAACGACGAGAGACCCGCTAGTCCTGATACGTCAAGGAGCATCTCGCCGACGTCTACAAGGAGCAGGAGTCCTCCTATATCCCCAGGAAGCGAGGATATCCCCGCGACGGCGTTCGTTCCAAGACCGGGACTCCTCAGTCATATCTACCCCAACGGGGGAGGTTTCTACGGGTACCAAGGTCAACCCCAAGCGTCTGCTTTCCATTCTTTGGACGGGACGATGGTGCAGAAGGTCCATCTACCCGTAAGTCACCACAATCAGAGTCAAATCCATCAAATGCACTTGGAATGGCTGGCTAGGACTGGGATGTTTTACCCTAGGTTACCGGATCTAACAGGTGAGTGAATTGTATTTGTAAATTGTTAGAAAGTTAAACAGCAAAGGGGAAGAACGCAAGGAATTCAAGTTGTAACGAATTTATTATAGTAACCTTATATTCAAGGAAATAATTTTGATGGTTAAGTGGTTTTATTTTGTATTTATTTTTGTGTATATAAAATAACAAAAAATAAAAGAGTAGTAGCAATATATGGTGACACTGGAACTAAAAACTGACAGTTAAATAATTTGTTGTATAGTATTACGTAATATATTTTGGCACGGGCAACTTTTTTAGATTTTGTATAATCTTTAGCAGCAACTAATTGTCGAATCTACAAATTTCTGCTAAATTTCTCAGTTCAATATTTGTTATCGAATATAATTTCATCACACCAACACCAATTGGTGATTGAATAAAAATCACGCTGTATATATAAGTTAAACCTTGCGTCCCAACTTTTTTTTCTTGTTCATTGGTTATTTTACCACCTGTGATAAAATAAAAAAATCTATGAGGCAAAAGCATCAGCCAAAGGTAATTCATAATTATACCTATCATGATCAAAAACTATACCTTCCGCAAATAACTTCAGACAACTGAATAAATTTATCAAACATTTTAGTAATGCAAATATTTTTTTAACAGTTCTCACTACCATAAAAAATTGTGTAATATCTACAACCTGCTGCTAGACTTTTCAGGTATGGTAAACGGTAAAACTATACTCCTACTGAAAAACAACACAAAATTTTAACATACCTAAACCTTTCTTTTTCTAGTTTAAATTGAGTCAATACCTATGTACGTCAATACAACATAAATTTAGGTACCTATAAACAAATTTAAATTTTTTGAATAATTTTTCAGCCTCAGTCAAAATCATTGCAATCAAAGATTCATATAGGTACGCAATATTTTGCATTGTATTGTTATGAAAAGGGGGAAAATAATAAAGAAAAACATTTGCGACAGCTTTTAAAGAATATCCGTACTCACAACAAAAGGGTTTTCAATAATAGTTCTATGTTTCGTTTATATAAAAAATTTTTAAGGAAATTTTAAAGCAGAACATCGCTACGATTCAACACTGCGTTAGAGATATCGTTTTTGGTCTTTCTCTCAAGTTTTATTTATATTGTTCATCAGACATCATTGCCACAGAAACCACTAACGAAAATATTAGATATATTTTATGGTTACAATCTATAAATAGGATTGTTTTACTGAATAATACGTCGTTTTATGACACAATCTTAGCGTAAACTTGAAGTTATTTTATTCGGTGATAAACGCATACACAGTTATTTATCAAGGAAATTATTCTATATTCTTTTAATATTGTATCTCGTATATGCCATTTCTGTATTTGACAGGTGAAAAAAAAAAAAATATTTATGCGAAGAATATTATTGATAACGGCCGATGTTTAAAAGATAAGTTAAAATCAATAGAAATAGTGGATTGGCAAGTTTATGTTTTAATAGTAAATCAGAACCCTTCTGGGTGATTAGGTTAAGGAATAATGATCCAAAAGTGTAATCAATAAAAAAATAAATTAGCAAATAATCATCTTTTAGGAAAAAATTGGAGCAAATTTTCAACAATGCGGAAGATGAATTGGAAAATTTCATATTATTGGCATGAGAGCAACTTTTCAAAAGGAATTTCTAAAAATTAGAGACATTTGCAACTATGTATCTACAATTTTTTTATTAATTATATTTATATATTTTTTATTGCATAATAAAGCATCTAGCACCTTACAAATAATCTATAAGTATAACTTTCATAAGAAATAGGAAAAGTTCAGTCAATATTTGATTATACAGGGTGGTCCGAATTTTATGCAGGAAACTTCGAGGGTAGATAGATCTCTTTAAAATAATATGTGTTTGCCTTATAAACATTGGTCTGGAACAGCCCCGTTTTAGAGATACAGGGTGTTGAAGTTGTTAAAAAAAATTGATTTTTTGTTTATATCTCCGGAATCTATTAACCGATCTAAATAAAATTTGGTACAGATAATGTATGATAGTAGGCCTTACATTCCCTAAAATATGAGCTTTAAAGGTTCAACCAGTGGTGTACAACTGGACAGAGATCTCCCCCTTTTTTACAAAAAAACCTACGCCACTGCATTTTTTACAAATTATTGTATCGTATTTATATTCTAATGCACTAAATACGTAAAAAAGGTAACTTTAATTTTTTCCCTAAGATTCGCCGTTCTCAAGTTATTCAAACCAATACTTGCCTTGTGGCTGACACTTCTAACCATAATATTACAAGAATATTTATGCTTATGCTTAAAAGTAAGTGCAATTTGTAAGCACATCAACAAAATTATTTACACCACCTGTGAGGTAGTGTTCCTGGCATGTTTTAGTTTTCCCTAGAGGCCTAATACTTTACAAATAAGAACAATTTAAATCAAAATAATAATAAAAATATATTTACCAAGCAGCAGCAACTAAACAAGAAACAAAATTAACGTTAGGTATTTACAACAATTGTATTACACTCGTCTTCTATTCGTTGAAGTAGTTGTGGTCTTGTATGTGTTGGAGTAGAATAAACTTTACTTTTCAGATAACCCCAAACATAGAAGTCCAGGGGGTTTAGATGTGTCAATCTGGCTGGCCAAGACACTGAACCCTCTGCATAATTATGGTTGACATTAGCATTTAGTCTTCTACCTATCCATAGACCCAAATAATTTTAATTAAGCCATTCTTATATTATTCTCCCAGAATGCGCAGGAGCACCATCCATTGTATCCAGCTTTAATGGAACATCCTCTAATAATTGAAATAGATGGTTTTCTAGAAAGTTTAGAAATGACTGGGAATTTAGACGGGTTTAGAAAGGTCCACAAACTTTATTGCGAATTATTCCGAGCCACACGTTCACAGAAAATTCGTGTTGAAAAGATCTTGTACGAATTTCATGAGGATTTTCTTCTGACTAAATATGCAGGTTGTGAAAATTCACTACCCTTCGAATTTGGTAAATGTACATTTATTATTATTTTGATTTAAGTTGTCCTTATTTGTAAAGATAGTGGCTTCCAGGGGAAATTAAAATGCGTAAGGAACTAAGGTGGTGTGGAAACAAGTGCTAATAATTTTGTTGATGTGCTTACAAATTGCACTTACTTTATACCATAAACATATTATGGGTAGAAATGTCTGCACAAGGGGATTGTATTGGGATGAATAACTTGAAAACGGCGAATCTTAGGGAAAAAATTCAAGTTACCTTTTTTATGTATTTTGTGCATTAGAATATAAATCCGTTACAATAACTTGTAGAAAATGCAGTGGCGTAGTTTTTTTTGTAAAAAAAAGGGTGACCCCTGTCCAGTTGTACACCACTGGTTAAATCTTTAAAGCTCATATTTTAGGGAATGCAAGGCCTACTGTCATACATTATCTGTACCAAATTTTATTGAGATCGGTTAATAGATTCCGGAGATATAAACAAAAAATCAATTTTTATTTAACAACTTCAACACCATGTATCTCTAAGACGGGGCTGTTCCAGACCAATGTTTATAAGGCAAACACATATTATTTTAAAGAGATCTATCTGCCCTAGAAGTTTCCTGCATAAAATTCGGACCACCCTGTATACATACCGACATGCCTTATAACAAGAACCGTTTATTAGAAAATATGTGAAAATATTCTCTTTAATGTTTGTGAATCGAAATAAGTAGAGAAAATAAACGAAAAAGGGAAATATAATCCTTAGTTGTTTAATTTTCTAATTTAATTTTTGCAGAAAAGACAAAATATTTTTGTATTATCTATTATTTATTCAACATCAAAATAATATGATTTAACAATTGTTTTTTTATATATTGTTTTAAAACTTTCTAGACCCTGTAAAAGTATAATTAATGTACTACACACAAAAAAGATACCTCAAGTCAATAATAATTATTTATATATACGCAAAAATACATTCTTGATGCTTATACATATACCATAATTTTTTTTCCATCAAGGAAATGTTCATTTAGATGGAGACATTTTATATAATTAAAAATTATGGCATATATAATCATCAAGTACATATGTTTTTGTCTGGACAATTTTTTTGTTATCTGTTCAGAAATAAAATAATTATCATCTCAATATTTCATTATAAACCTATTCTACAGAATACAATTGCAATACATTAGAAAAATACTATTTTTAAATTTATCAAATACATATATAATTATTTTTGATAATACATACTTACTTGTTTATCTTTATTGTATTATTTAATAATAGATTTTTTTAGACTTTAGTGAACCACTTGTTCTGAAAGGAAATTTTATTTGAATAAAAAATGTTAGCAGTAAGTGCAACTTTATCATCTTATTTATATCTGGTTTTCTTAGAAATCTAGTAATGTCAGGATTAAATAAATATGTTCTGTATAGATACAGTGCTTTTTCCTATAAAATTTTAAACATTACATTAGTAAACGCAGTTCAGAGTTAATATGTATTCCCATATTCCATATTTTCATTTTTCAGTATTTTACGTCTCAAATTTGATGCCAATCATTGTTAATTTTACCACGACTTACATAATTTAAAAATATACATACAGGGTGTAACGTAAAGGTTGGGAATAAATTAAAAGGTGGATTCTTTAGTTTAAAAAATAATTTTTTGTCATATGAAGTTATGCTCTACGGGTTTTCTTTTCCAAGCTACAGGGCGCTAAAAAATATAAAAAAATTCAGTTTTTCTCCAATAACTTTCGAACATTAGAAGATAATGGAATGAAATTTTATCCATAGCTTAATTTGATAATCCCCTAGTAACAGGAAAAAGATTGGCTTTGTAAGTTACTCAGTGGCGTGCGTACATCTTATACCGTAAGGTTTTTCGAAGAAAATTGTGGTACGCCACTGGTAAAAACATTTTTTTAATATCTTTTTATGATGCACATTTTATTTTAAACAAAATTACCCTCTTGCGTTTTATTCCTAGCTCTTGTCATTTTTCCGCAAATAAAACTTTTGTAAATACCATTTTTCCCCGCTGCTAACATAGAAAAATGAAAATAACAAAACATTATGATGTATGCTTTGACTCAGCCACCGAAAATGGTCAAATAGGCATTAAAAAAAGACTTATTTGTATTGAAAATGATATTAAAGTATCACATTATTTTAACAATAATAAAAAAACACTAGTGACTTAGGAATTTAAAGAATTTATTGAGTAGGTAATAAGAAATAATAAACAACAAACAAGATTACAAAATGTGCTGGAAATGTTGCCCCCCAACTTCAGTACATTTTTCAATGCGTTTTCTCATGGATTCTCTTACTCGTCCAAAAATTCCAGGCATATCTCGAATTAGCTGACAGCCCATTTCAACTCTTTGACGAAGAATCTGTACATCAGAAATGGGAACGGAATAAACTATGGTTTTTAAGTGCCCCCACACATAATAGTCTAACGGATTAAGTTCGGGAGAACGAGCAGGCCACGCTCTTGGCCTTACACGACCTATCCATTTATTGGGGAACGTTTCATTGAGGTATTCTCTAACTTCTCGCCTAAAGTGAGCTGGGGCGCCATCATGCATAAACCACATGTTCTGGCGTGTTTCAATTGGAACTTCTTCTAAAGTCGCACAGCTAACACAGTATTCCCGTTGGCAAGGCCGTAAATAAAATGCATATCTGCTAATTCTGGAAATGAGTAGTCCATTTCTAACAGATCTAAACCAAAATACAACCGTTTAAGGAAAGCTAAATGTCATAACTGACGATGATGTTTTGTCTGAAAACATCTGAAAACAAATTTTGGTGGCTTGGTCAAAGCATACTTCATAATGTTTTTATTTTCATTTTCCTATGTTAGCAGTGGGAAAAAATAGTATTTACAAAACGTTTATTTACGGAAAAGTGACAAGAGCTAGGAATAAAACGCAAGAGGGTAATTTTGTTTAAAATAAAAAGTGGATAATAAAAAAATATCAAAAAAATGTTTTCACCAGTGTCTTACCACAATTTTCTTCGAAAAACCTTACGGTATAATCCGTACGCACGCCACTGAGTAACTTACAAAGCCAATCTTTTTCCTGTTACTCGGGGATTATCAAATTAAGCTATGGATAAAATTTCATTCCATTACCTTCTAATGTTCGAAAGTTATTGGAGAAAAACTAAATTTTTTTATATTTTTTAACGCCCTGTAGCTTGGAAAAGAAAACCCTTGGAGCATAACTTCATATGACAAATATTTATTTTTTAAACTAAAGAATCCACCGATTAATTTATTCCCAACCTTTACGTTACACCCTGTATAAACATTAGGCTGAAAATTTTAAAATTCAGTATATGAGTTCAATTTTATACGGACATTGTATGACTTTGATTTATTCGTTGCTGAATATGTATTATCTATGACATTTTTTGTAAGTACCTACGGTTGGTCTGCCCGTAGATTTTCCTTTGTCAATGCAGTGTTTGGATTCAAATATTTTGACAACAGTACATTTCGCTTTAAGAAACCATCTTTTATGATAACTAAAATTATGAACATTTTTTGTGCAGAAATTTTTTCTCTATCTCTTCTCCTTAAAAAGTTACAAAAACATTGTACAAAAATGTATCCTATTGTATTGGAATTAGTCATGATTTAATCAACATTGCTGTGAAAACAAT